AACAATATAACACTCAAGATAAAATTCGATTTAAAGAAATTTCACATGACCGAAAAGGACGGCTAACCGAAGATAACCGGAAAGTTTCGTGTACGGTAGTAGTAGGTTGAGATAGTGGGGACGAGTTGACCGAGTTTAAAATTGGTTAAAATGGTATCAATGGACAATCCACGATAAATCAGCTGTAATTCGGGTGCAACTAATTTATGTAGTATGTGACTAACAATTTGCATTTGTGTAATTTTAACATTCAATTTGGATATGTTGAAATTCCTCCCGTAGTAGAGAACTAAAGGTGTCAAATTGCGAAATATAATTTATAATCATCGTATAAATTATTTTTAATTTAAAATAATATTAAATTAACGTAATATTAAATTATTATTTACTTAATTAATTAACCTATAGTGTTTCTTGCGCAACATACTTTGTTTTCTACTAATAGGTAAAATGTAAATCATTTTGCTTTTCTTTTATAGTGCAAGCCACAGCGGTTTAAGGAGTTTATACAATCAAATTTCTTTAAGGTAAATATTAACAACGCAAATATGTTTGTAAGTAATACCATGACATGAGGGAAATTATTGATTGAACGCCCCCAAAAGCCGAGGGAGGTTTGTGGGATTCCACAAACCTCCCGAGGGTGAGGGACAAAATAATCTCTAATTTTCTGGCATGTCATGGTATAATAGTTTGTAATACCCTGATTCAGTTTCCACTTACTTAGGAACGGACACACATGCCCTACTTGCAATCACCGAATTAAGCTGAAATATTTGCTTCTTTACTTGTGGGATGTAAAAACTAGCTGGACATGCGCACTTCTTACGCTTTAGTTGGTTACGCATACGCAATCTGTCATTTAACGCACCACAACAAAAACAGTAAATATATTCGTATAAAATTTCAGACTGCAGGGCCTGTTGTATAAAACTCTTGATCACTTTCTTAATCACTAACTCACAGATTAGTCTGCGATAGAAGACTGATCTCAGTCGTCTCCCCCTCGAGCGGCGGAGAAACAGTCTGCTATCAATCAACACTAATGCCGTACCCCCGCACAACGGGGGGCGGAATATGATTGGTTGGAATTTCCTTTGTGATCACGCCGAAAATTGCATAAATTGCATTGTTATATATAATAATTCATAGTTGCTCTCGTCCTCGGTCCCAGGGCCTCACGGCTGACACTGCGTTGCCAAAGGCACTGGCGAAAACCAGAATGAGAAGTTATTTGATTGGTCGCATGAATACAATGGAATACGAAAATTGAACATGAAGTTGTACTAATATAAATATGGCTGACTATAAGGAGTGTATAGAAGTGTATTAAGTTCAAAGAAGGCGAAGAGTCGTTTTGGTCTTTGAAATCTTCTGTCTGTCAACGGAACTTTTATTTTAATATAAAATATATTGGATGTTGAGTTACAATGTATTAAAAAGCGGCACAAAATTGAGCATTGGATTATTTAAATAGTATTGGAGTCGCCAAAGCCCATTTAGCCATTTAGGGACATTTTATATACAACGTAACAAAGACAGACGAAAGACTATGCGAGAAAGACTGTACCGTTCATAATTGTACTAATTTACAAAAATTGTGAGTGATGTCTTGATCTTTCAATTACAAATGACAAAATCCTGATCGTGAGTGTCTGTGTAGTTGTTCAATGCAAGAGACTTGATACAACACATAATATCATAAATATAGTATATTATAAAATATAAATTGACATACTTTATTATATTGATTTTATATCAATTTCATCAAAGGCTCTTAATTTATGTAAAGATTATATTTTATATTAAATGTATTTAATAATGACAAATTGTATTTAATAATGACAAAGTGATTATAACTCTTTAGTATCATTTTGCAGATAATAGTTGAAATGTTAGTTCCTTCAACCTTTTTCTGCCTTAAATATAATATAATTCCAAGGCATTTGATACCGTAAATCATGATATTTTATTCGATAAACTCCAACATTATGGCATCAGAGGATTGGCTCTTGATTGGATAAAAAGTTACTTTTCCAACCGCCTACAATATGTCCAATACAATGACACTTCTTCCACTTACAAAATTATAAAATGTGGGGTGCCCCAGGGTTCTATCCTTGGGCCACTTCTGTTTCTTCTATATATTAATGTTTTAGACAATGTTTCTGATATATTCGAGTTGATTTTATTCGCTGATGACACTAATTTATTCTGCTCCCATAAGGACTTTTTTTCATTGGGAAATATTATCAACGGTGAAATTGAAAAGTTGTCTGAGTGGTTTAAGGCTAATAAGCTGTCAATTAATATAAAGAAATCTAATTATATGATCTTTAAACCTAGACAAAAAGGATTAGTAAATGATTTATCTATAACATTAAACGGTTATACAATTGATAGAGTAAAAGAAATTGCTTTTCTTGGTGTTATTTTGGATGAACACTTTTCTTGGAAACCTCATATTTCTCAAGTTGCTAGGAAAATATCCAAATCTATAGGTATCATATACAAAGCCAGTTTTTCCCTTTCAAAGTCTTCCTTATTTAAATTGTATTATTCTCTAGTTTATCCTTATTTACAGTATTGTTTAATTGTTTGGGGTTCTGCCTACGCAACAAATTTAAAACGCATGCATAATGATTATCTTGCTTCAAAAGCGCATTGTTAGAATTATTAATAAAGAAACATTTAATGCACACACTGACCCGATTTTTGCTGAAGTTAAGATATTGAAATTCGAAAATATCTATTTGTATCAGCTAGGGAAATTTATGTATTTATATCGAAATAATTTATTACCCAAAAGTTTTGATAACCTCTTTCTTCGCACGAGTCAAGTTCATAACTATAATACACGTCAGTCTAACTTGTATCACATCCCCTTTTGCAGAACAAATATTAGAAAACTCTCAGTTAGTTACCAAGCCCCGAAATTTTTTAATACATTAAGTTGCGATATTCGCAATGCGTCAAGTGTTTCTTTATTTCAGTCTAAATTAAAAAATACTTGTTTCCTCGTAATTGCCTTAACATTCATTATTTTTCTTCTTCATTTGACAATTTAATATTTTTTATTTTATTGCTTTTATTATTCATCTGTAATGATATATTATTAATACTGTAATTACTGTATTTTGATATCAGTATATTGATATCAGTATAATTATTGTTTCCACCGTACCGTCTCCATATCTATCAGAGCAAGTTTGTAGTATAAAGAAGCCCAATTTTATAAGCCTTTTGGTTTCTTTTGGGCTTCCTTGCCTTTTCCTATTCACTTATTAAATTTGTAAATATCTAACTTGTGGCAGAATAAATTGATTTGATTTACATGAATCTACGAATAGCAATAAATCGTTGCCCCACCCTGTCCAGTAGTCAATCGACAACTTTAAAAACTGAATGGCCCCCAAGTACCAGCTAGACTAGAACATAATAAAAAAATAATATATGCGTGCATAAACAGGTCGTTGATATACCGGTAATTTGCGCTAAAACGGTTATTCCAGATTAAAATATTTACAATTCTAATTGTAGGACCATACTTAGTTGCACACTTAACAAATCCATCGTAGTAAGAACCCACAGTAACTGCGTCTTATGCGTGCACAATCAGAACACGAATTCGACGAATTCGTACACGCCATAATCATATAAACTCCTGCCCACTGACCTATATACCAAAGGCCAATGCTTCTGCCGAGAAACAGGATATTATGAAACACATCAATATTTGACTAATAAAGTATTTTCAATTGTTCGCAAATGATATGTTGAAACAGAGACAGGATAAGTACAATATATGTATAATTAAACGTGAACAAGAATTGCGTATAAATACATCACTTATAAAGTTTGTTCGTTCACTGCAACCAGGTATATCAATCATGTTTCGCTCGCTACTCTGGTTTAAATAAATGATTACAAAGCCCAGTCGAATTGTAATCAAGACCCAACGTTTCGACACTCCAGTCTAGTGTCTTCATCAGGGGTGATCTAAAACTGCAATCGTGGCTTCTTAAATACCCAAGGAAAATACCCTTGGCAGGTGACGTCATCCCTTGGGTATTTAAGAAGCCACGATCGCAGTTTTAGATCACCTCTGATGAAGACACTAGACTGGAGTGTCGAAACGTTGGGTCTTGATTACAATTCGACTGGGCTTTGTAATCATTTATTTAAACCAGAGTAGCGAGCGAAACATGAAATACATCACTGTTGTACATTTATTGTGTCTATATTGAGTGAAATATTCGACATGAGCACAGACTTCATATTAAACTAATTAAAGGATCGTATTACAGTTCTAAATTCTAACAACAACATCTTGGAGAGTTACGTCCTAAACAATAAACATCGGCACTCAACGAAAGTGTGCGGTGAGCCGAACCACATTCATATACGCTGTGTATTTATGTACTTAACATGATTGTTTCATTGGATATGAGAAACTAAGCAGGAATGAGAAATCGGCTCTGCATGATACAGACTTAGAACGCACAATAATCAGACTTAATGTCTAAAGGCCTTAGTGGCTTACTTCTTCGCTGGTTGTTATACTTTAAAATAATTCTGTAGCTCATATTTTACCAAATTTCGCCTTCAAAGCGCCAAAGCGGATTCAAATGCCTATTAGGTGTCAAGATGACCCCAAATAGGAAACATGGTAGACGTCACGCTTCGAAAACCAATACGTACTATTTCGTAAATTGCTGAAAAGTGTACAGCAAGCATGCTACTACAAAACAGATACGTAGACGTAGTTCCAATATTAATTTACCTATAGATCCACAAGTCATCATATTCAATGTGTGAATAAATATAAATCATCTCTTTACCGCCATATTGGATTGTCTCGCGCGATTTGTAATTACGTAATTTTTGATAATACTAGTAGCTGATTGGCTAAGTTAACAGTGAACACTGAACAGTTAACACGTCGATAGCATATAATCATAATCTACCTCGTAGATTCAAAAAGGAAATACCTCACTTACCAATACCTACTCCAACAAAGAATCTGATGATAATAAACAGCCATAGACTATGTACAAAAGCGCCAGCAAGAGCAACCACACTAATGTTTATGACACAAGCCAAGAATGCGACTTTGCGCCCAAATCTGTCAGAGAGGAAACCAAACAGTATACTGCCGATAATCCATCCAGCAAAAATGAACATACTTGCCACAGTGGCGAGGATTGAGTCATCACAAACTAAATCAAACTGAAAAGAAAATTAAGGATTGCAAAGGATTACAAGAGGTACTTTTTAATATCTACGCACGCGCATTTGCGATGCATGAAGAGCGTTCAAACTGCAAAATTTAAAATCTTTTTGGCGAATATCTCGCAAAATTATTTTGTTTTTAGCTTTATTTTCTTATAAACGCATCTACTGATGGAGAAACATAAAATTAAAAAAACCCAATTAATATCATCACGGTCAACGATTCTTTAAAACTGACGCCATATTTACTAATTAAAACTTGCTGAACTTTAGACATAATTTTTTCTTCAGACTGCATTTCATGTACAGGGGCGGCGCTATAGACCTATTTGAATGGGGGGGGAGGGGTCAGTGAAATTTTTGACCACTCATTTTAACCACTAATTAATCTTTATTTTCCCAAAATTTATTAGGTTTTGAAAGCCACGAGCGCGCAACGCGAGTGGCTTTAGACCAGGGCGTAGTAAAACACTGACCTAATAAAACACGTCCTTAGAGTTTATTAAACGGCTTCAAACACGACTACAAATTCAATGGATATACTGCCTTATTAGTATTCTTTATATAAAGAATACTAATGAGGACACGACTACAATAGATACTGCCTTATTAGTATTCTTTATATAAAGAATACTAATTAGGAGTGTTTTATTAGGTTTAAAAGCCACTGCACATGACATATTATGGTTGACATGATTTGTCAATAAGCTTATGAATTATTGAGTGTTTGAAGCTGTTATATTCACCTACAGGTGAAATATAGCTAACAAAATCGAAATTATTACATTACAATGTAATAATTCTTGTATTCTTACACAAGTCTTTTGTGTGTTTTGGGACTGAATTTATTCTAATGAGTTTCACAGCCATCTCACCTTCGACAGGCAATGACCTAATTTAGCAAGTAGAGAGGTTAACTAGATACCCCGGTTCCGATTTACGGGTACGGGTAATATACACGTACCCGTAAATCGGAGAATAACTTGTATCTTCAAAAAAAGTTAAAAAAAGTAAAAAAAGCTAGATTTTCAGGCAAAAAGTTTTAAAAAAGTTCGATTAGGGTTAGTGCTAGGGGTTAGGGACTGGTCATAATTTATCAGGGGTGGGGTGGGGTGGTGTAATTCAAAATTTTAAGGAATGATATTTTGTGACCCTGCTTTGCCATAACCCGGAAAAATAATGCCCCCCCCCCCTCTCTCTTGCTCGTGTCAGTAAAAATGTACCTACCTACTACTAAACCCTGCATTCAATGAATTTTCTCATTGCACTTTAAATTTTCTAATTTTCTAGTTGCGCTTTAAATCAAATACTAAAATTTATATTATACCAATACATAGTCATATATAAAACTTTAATTTTTTCAAACTTTTCATTCTAAGTTTAAAGAATCAATTTTTTTCAATGCAACTCAAACAAAATGTGAGAAAGCATGAATAAAACAATTAATTGAACTAAAACAGCAGACCCCCTCCCCGCCTTCATAAACTGTCTAATATTTTATGAACCTCCCTTTTTCCTGGCTAAATAATATGTGACCCCCCCCCACTGTTTCCACCTCCCCACCCCTCCTGCTAAATTATGACCAGTCCCTTAAGAGCCGCGAATTTATCATATTAGAGACCTTTAGATTGACGTTTACGGCAAACGTCAAACCGCTAGCGAGGTTTTTGATTTTACAACTCTATTATAATAGCTTTTACACCAGTTTTGAAATATGTTAAATTTATTAAACTTGTGCTTTTTAGCAATGATTTAAGAAAGCAAATTAACCACTAGTCATGCCATTCACCAAAGCAGTAAATTAAGATTTGGCGTTTGAAGTTGACGTATAAATTTCATCAGTTTAACGACAACAAGCCCTCGTAGCAGTTCAAGCATGAAATTTATACGCCAAACGTCAACTTCAAACGCCAAATCTTAATTTACTGCTTTGGTGAATAGCATGACTAGTGGTTAATTTGCTTTCTTAAATCATTGCTAAAGAGCACACGTTTAATAAGTTTAACATATTTCAAAACTGGTGTAAAAGCTGTTATAATAGAGTTGTAAAAGTAGTAAATTCAAAGTAGTAAAGTAGTAAATTCAAAGTAGTAAAGTAGTAAATTCAAAGGTGGAGCACAAATTAAACAGAAAACACCCGTACCTTTGTCTTTTACGTGTAGAGCATGGTTTACCGCGGGGAAACGGGTAGCAATTACGGGTAAAAATGCTGACATCAGCAAAAATTGGTAAACAAAATGGCGATACTCGTACCCGTAATCGTACCCGTAAACCGGAACATCTTGACCTCTCTAATATTTCGCGCCTTCACTAGTGATGGGCGATACCAGGATTTTTAATTCGATACCGATACCGATACTTTTAGGATCGGTATCGGTCGATACAGATACTTATTTCGATACCAAAATAAACACAAAATTTCAATTTTCGATACCGGAAGTGAGTACTTAAATTGCTAGTATCGGCTACTTTCGATACCTGCCGGTCAGCGGAAAAACATTTTACATTACTGTATGTAAAATAAATAAAGCTATAAGTAACCAAAAGCCCGAAACGTAATAAATATTTTCTATACATGACTTGGCGCACCACATTTGCAATATTAAGAATTATTTTAGTGGTTCATTAAGTCTTATTCAACCAAGAAGTGAAATTAAACAAGTTGTTTAAATTAAAAAAGGGTGCAAGTATCGAACGATACCACGTCAGCAATCGATACCGATACCGCTGTTTGTGGTATCGCTGGTATCGAATACCGAGTACTCGGTATCGCCCATCACTAGCCTTCACTGGTCACGCATGTCAGATATTTCGCACAGGTCACGGAATCGGACAAATTTGCGTACATGCGGTTCCAAATTCGCCCGGGCTGGTGTAAACGTAATCTGAATCCATCAATAAATTGCAACATGCTGATCTGAACCAACCTCAGTAACAATAGACGTAAAATCATCCGCAAATTTCCACTCCGATCTGGGCATATCACATCTCGCCTCGTAATCATCGTCTGTCAGACCCATAGGCTCGCTGAAATTACATATCAAACTCTCGTTCTTGCAAAGCCACTTGGGCTCGGCGGTTATAAATGTCAACAAAAATATTTGATAAGTCACAGCCATTTCGGCAATGCTCGCACCGAGATAAATAAGCCATTGAAATAACCCGAATCCTCCGAGTTCTGCCAGTGCTTCGTCCACGGTAATTGTTTTTGCCATTTTTGTTCAGTTGTTCGCCTTGGGCTTGGTTGAGGAAATATAATTAGGGTTTACAAACGATAAGCACGATGGGCAAAAATCAAAATTGCTTAATTTGCAATCTGGTCGCGCTTGAGCGAAGGTCAACAAGCTGCTTCTGATTGGCATTGCAAATGGTGCATTTGTTTATTCCCTTTCTTAAAACATTACCGTAAAAGAATAAACTTAACTGACTTTTCGGGCAAAATAGCGGCAATAGATGCTTCCTGTTGGATTCACAAGGCCTTGATTTTACCGTATCTCAAACCGCGTGGCTTATTTTTCACCCTGCTCGGTTTCCTTTGTTCTTGTCGGGGAATATATTCAATATTCCCCTCTAATCAATTTCCGTTTAATAATCCCCTCTAATATTCACCTGCAATTAATAATCCCTCTAATATTCACCTGCAATGTCTTTGCAGCACAAGTTTGATAGTTTAGAACTTTAGATACATGTGATGGATATTTTGAATATAAACTAGATGGAGCATACAAAATATGCGCTCGAATATGCGTACAGTCGTTTAGTTATGATCGAGTACACCGAATATGAGTACAGCCGTTTAAGTTTTGATCGAGTACGCTTTAATAGAAAGCGGTTTGCCTGTTTTAATACTTTTGATGAGTATACTTAGAAAGCGTACAGCCGTTTACTTTTGATCGACTACGCGTAGAAAGCATACATACAAATACTTGATCGAGTACGCATATTAAAATAATGCACTATTATTATACTTTTTGTATAAAGAGTACTGAGTATATGTCGTCCTCAGACAGTAAACAAAGTATTTTAATACTTTAATACTTACATATACTTTAGAGAGTAAACAAAGTATTTCCTCAGATGTCAGTACGTCCTCAGAGAGTAAACAAAGTATTTTAATACTTTAATACTTACATAATACTTTAATACTTAACAAAGTATTTTTACAAAGTTTTTTTTTATACTTACATTTTACAAAGTATTTTAATACTTTTAATACTTAAAAGTCTTAATAGCACGAGAGCAGGAAGTCGAATGAGCCATTGAAGTTATTGAACGCGGCTATTAGTAAAACACGGAGCACGGATCACACGGAGCACGGAGCACACGAAGTACGGAGCAGTAGAAAAACGAAAATCCTTTATAATAAAATACACTGTTTACTATTACAAATTTTTGTTATTATTAATAAAGATTTTTCGCGAATTTACACGTTGGGGAAGTAGGAAAATGGGGCTTTTACTGAAAAACACATATGATGCAAAACTGCCAAAAGCCATAGTATTTAAAATAGGATTGTGAAACTCGTTATCTTACATCTATCAAGCTTATGTAGTTATATTATATTCCGATGGCCAACGCATAAAGAAACACTTACTGTAGAGAACAGCCGATATATTTCGTTACCCCTGCCAAAAAATAGCCAAGTACTCATCTTTCAATGTAGCGGATCGACTGAACATTAAAGCTTGTGATGGAGAGAAGTGAATTTTCGGTTTATCCTTCGGCTCAGTGGCAGTGTGCTGTACGGCCTACGTTTAAACCGTTATACAGTACATAATTACTGCTTTGAATTCAATCCGTTTTGAATATTCGGAATCATTCACAATATTATACTGTAGACGATCCGAAAACCTATTCACCCCCCACCCCTTAACTAAACATACAATTCGGTGTAAGGTTTAAAAATTGACGTGTATTATACTATTATTCTATATATAATTTAGGTAAAACCTCGGGTAAAACTCTAAAAGAAAAGCCGTACAGCTGCATATGACATTTATACGGTTAAAAAATTAGAACGCTGACTTTTTCGCGTTCTCTTTTTTTTGTCGTAAACAACTCCATATACGGAAGTTTGTTCCATATATGGAGAAAGACGTGAAACAGATTTTTAAAAATGCTGATTTTAAAAAATTTACGAAAATCTTTATAGAGGTATAAACTGTTCACAATTTTAGTACTTTTTGAGCACTATTTTGAGATTTTGAGCACTTTTTGAGCACTTTTTAGCCCTTTCTGCCAGAACTTTGTTTGGATTTTACCAGCGCAATCGGGAAGGCCTAAATAATAGCTCGAATAATAGTGCATTTCGATATGCATGCGTACTCGACCAAGTTATATCCATCACATGTATCTAAAGACTAAACTATCAAACTTTATAATTCCATCGGAATCGAAATACTGGTCTATACATGCGGCTGCCGGGCAGTATTTTTAAAATACTACGTGCCCGGCGGCAGTCAGGAAACACGTACAGCACACTGGGCAGAAGGATAAACTGAAAATTCACTTCTCTCCATCACAAGCTTTAATGTTCAGTCGATCCGCTACATTGAAAGATGAGTACTTGGCTATTTTTTGGCAGGGGTAACGAAATATATCGGCTGTTCTTTACAGTAAGTGTTTCTTTATGCGCTGGCCATCGGAATATAATATAACTACATAAGCTTGATAGATGTAAGATAACGAGTTTCACAATCCTATTTTAAATACTATGGCTTTTGGCAGTTTTGCATCATATGTGTTTTTCAGTAAAAGCCCCATTTTCCTACTTCCCCAACGTGTAAATTCGCGAAAAATCTTTATTAATAATAACAAAAATTTGTAACAGTAAACAGTGTATTTTATTATAAAGGATTTTCGTTTTTCTACTGCTCCGTACTTCGTGTGTTCCGTGCTCCGTGTTTTACTAATAGCCATTGAACGCCAGCACGAAGAGTAGGAAGTCGAATAAGCCGCTGAACGCCAATAAGATAAGCACAAATAATCACATGCGTCCACGATTTGTTTCGATTGGCCAGAATTAAGAGCGGCCGCGTAGGAGAATAAGTCTTGCGCGAAAAAAACAACAACAAAAAAAACCGAAGCGAAAAAAACCCCCGAGCTGAGCTCGAGTAATGACTGAAAAACAGCAAACTTCGCAGGGCTATTTTATCCGCATTTTACAACATTTCGCAACGAAACTTTGGAATATTACTAATTTTGTGATGTTCTTTCAAGCTGTGATGAAATTTTTGTCTACATCAAAATTTAGTCTATAATGCAAATGGTCCATTGTGAGTTTAAAAAACAGTCGATCATACCATAGTCACTGTGTTTCTATATTCCAGGTTGGCTGATATTTTCGAGAAGCATTTGTCAGTGGTTAGAAGAGCAGGAGTAACTCCTTATATTGTATTTGATTGACTTCCATTACCTGCAAAAGCGAGTGAAGTCGAGAAAAGGCAGAGGTGATTGAACTAACCATTGAAGCAACAAGATTTTACTTTGATATACTGTATTATTATTATTATATTCACATTTTATAACTGAACCGATAGATAAATATTTTCCCTGACAGAGGCCGAAAAGAATGTTTGCTGAAAGCAGAAAGAGAAGGAATTACTTCCCAAGAGGCCAACAAACTTCGAAGCCAAGCTGTTTCAATCTCTTTCCATGATATTTCAACTTGTGTAAACGCGAGTTCCTTATATTGTCAGCCTAATTTAACTATAATTTTAATATAGAAATAAATTTTAATATACAACATGTGGAATAAATTTCAAGAGGAAGTAAGGGGAGGGGGGGGAGTTGACATTGACATTTCAAAAATTTGTTAAAATGGTTCATTTCAGACAGATACACACTTCCCCAAACTGAGGAAATTAATCTCCCATCCACCAGCATAGGAGTTGGGGGAATCAAAATTGTTTCTGATACTGGGTAATAGATAGCACATTAGGACATCCAAAGTGGGGTAAGGGGGTTAACTTCCAATTTCCTCCATAGAAAAGGCATGGATACTTTTTTGGAAAGACCCTTGAATTATAAATGTATTCGGCACTAATTGTCATCTACATACATCAGGGCATGCATGTACATCATAAATTAATATGGTATCAGAGATAATGTGTTTACCCCCTATTTTATCCACCACCTCACCTGAACTGCCATATGCAAGACAACTAGTAAATTGAACCTGGCTTTTTCTATGTGTTACATGAAAAATTTAATGATTTTATTATATTTGATGGCAAAGTTGTTCAACTTTAATTAAATCAGAATCTGTCAATTAATCCAATATTAATAATTAAACTGTCCATTTTTTTTCTCTTTGGTGATTGCTCTGCCTGAGTGATGACGGCTGTTATTTGAGTCTGACCATGGATAATAAAATAAATGGATAGGACTCTAGCTGACGTAAGCAAAAACAACCTAGTTGCAATCTGTGACTTCACGCGTATTGCAAAGTTCTCGGCATTTTTGTTGTTTCGCTATTAAATAATATCTTTCTGCTTTAAAAGAGTAATATTGAAGCATATACTGGTCTAATTGTTTTAAAAACATACCTAAGCCACGACAAAGTATTCAAGGTAAATGTTTTTCGTCTTTGTTTTGTATTTTTTTACATTTGTAGCTACGAAATTTGCGTCCCCAATTTTAACGAAATTTGGGATGCCTTTTTCACTGTTTAGTGCTTGAAATATTAGTGCTAAAATTGACTGAGAATACTTAGAGATTTCATCGTAGAATGGCTTAGTTATATTTATTGGCTCTTTGACTAAAATGTTTAGCTGTATTAATGCTAAACATGCCGTTTTTGAGAATTTGGTTTGCAACTAGGTTTCAGCATCCAATCACGCCATCAGCCCACTGAAAACATTAGGTCACGTCAGCTAGTTTCCTATCCATTTATTTTATTATCCATGGTCTGACCAACATACTGGAAGGACTGAAGCTAAATATCGAACAGTTCCAGAGTTTATGTATTTTAGCTTGGTGTGATTACCTAAAAAAGTCCGTGGTGTTGGTATCCATACTGTATGATACAAATTAATATGTTCCAAAGATGATTTGTTCCACAAACTAGAAAAAAAAGGTGCACCAGCTGATTATAAGGAATGTTTTGCTAATGCCATGTCAGTATTTTTACATCAAACTGTCTTTGATGTTAATGCTGGAAAAACAGTATACCTCGGGTCTGGTAGGAGTGGGTGCAATTTGTGATTTTTATCTTCCATTATTTCTTTGAAGAGTTTGTCGCACGCAATTTGACGTCTCTCTTCAAGAGTTAGAAGCTTAGAATGGGAGAGCGCTTCGGCATATGATTTGGTGGGAAATATGATTTTCATGGCTCGTCGCTGAATTCGTTCAATGTCTTTACACAGATATATGGGAATTCCATAATGAAAGACAAGAGATGCGTATTCGACAATTGGTCGGATACAAGTACAGTAGAAACACATCGTCTCGGTGGCACGTTTCAATTGTCGCAAAAAGTACAATCTCTTGGATGCCTTTCAGTTAACAATATTATCAATATGACTATTCCACTTAAGGTCGCTGCTGATAGTCAAACCCAAAACTTTACTTTGGAAGACCAAGTCTACCTGTTTATCGTTGATTGTCACTAGGGGAGGCTGCTGGTAATTGGTGTTGTATCTGCTAAATTGTATTCGCATCTCTTTACAATTGTCCTCGTTGAGGGTAAATTTCAGGGTGTTGGATTGGTTTTGGATATCATCGACCGCAGATTGAATATTGCTATCCCCTCCTCTGAGTATTACCTCGGCTAAAGTCGTATCGTCTACGTATTTCCAGAGGTTATTACTGACTGTGTTGAGGTCATTTGATCATAAGAATATATAACCAAGGATCGAGTTTGGTTCCCTGGGGTACACCTGCCGGGACTAGGGACCATTCTGAATAGGCCAACTTTACTCTTTGTTGACGATTTGTCAAAAAATCTCTTACCTAATTTATAACACTCGGCGGAACGTCCAGAGAGTGGAGCTTTACCATAAGTAACCGATGAGATCAAATGCTTTCCTAAAGTCCAATAGAAGAACAAGTCTAACTAATGCTCCGTTGCCATCAGTGGCTTTAGCAACATTGTGGACTATGCTAATAAGAGCTTGGGTGGTAGATGATTTCGGCACTGTTCCATATTGGTTAGGATCCACCACTTTGAGAATCGCCGGTTTAATGAACTGTTCAACTACCACTTCCTCGGCTGGCTTTGAGACTATTGGTGTTAACGAAACGGGCCCTAAATCCTTGTTTACAGTTCGTACAGGCTTCTATTTTGGAATGGCAATTACATCTGCCAACTTCCAAGCAGCGGGTAAACGATTTTCGAGATAAGAATAATTGAGAATCTTGCACACGGGACTAGCTAGTACATCGGCATTCTCTTTGAGAAGCCAATCAGGAATAGTGTCTGGGCCATGAGCCTTCGTAGGTACTATACTGGATAATTTCTCGAAAATATACGATTCTGTGGTGGTAATTGTAGATGGTAATTGGTTACTAGTGCCGGACACGTTTAAGGCTTGGGAGTGGTTGGAACGTGTTCATTGGTTCTAGGAAGGTTTGATTTATGGTATTCGCCAACTGTGAAAGAGATGCGTTGCCTTCGTTGGTTTCATTAGTTTCATCACCAGTGGATGACAGGCTTTGAAGATGTCGGAGATCATACTTGTGGTTGACTGGATCCATTCCACACAGGTACTTAACACTGAGATTTCCACCACTGTTTGGGATCAGAGGTTTTAAGTTGACTGACTTTTGAGTCATAGTATTTATTCCGGCATTGTTTTCGTTCCCTATTGACGCGGTTACGAAGACTTTTAAATAACTGGTCATGTCCTTTCGCTAATGCTTTTTGACGTTGCTGAATTAAGGATTTCAAATGTTGGGTCATCCATGGTGGGTCATCGAGCCGTTTCTTTATATAGTTTTTGTGGGAAGGAGAATGTCCATTCCAAACCGAAAGGGAACCAAGGATTGACCAGTCAAATTCAGTAATGAAGGTGCTGATAGCTGCTTTGTTTCTCGGGTGTTGGCGTTGCGAACTTGAGAAATATCATATTTTGTTCTTCCTGCGACCTTGCGTTTAGGGGTCGAAAGGATAGTAAAATGGTCGGAGAGACCAAAAGGTGGAAGTTTAACTGCATGGCGGTAGGTAAAATTTAGCCAAGTTAGTTAGAAATAGATCAAGGGTTCTCCTTCCACGAGTCGGGAATTTAACCAATTGTTTTAGACTGAAGTGGTTATTTAGACGATGACAATTAAGATTATTAAAGTCTCCAAGTAGAATAAGACCACAATTGTAATAAGTTGATTCGATAAGGGACAATTGTTCAGTTAGGAAGTCAATCATATTTCTATCATTTGCTGAGGGTGGATGGTAAATTGAACCAATGATAATGCAAGACAGGCCCCTCGGCAATTTGTGAGGACGAGCTTTAACCCACAAGACTTCGAACTGATCATTATAGTATTGGCTGAGAATTTCGAATGGGATTGACTCCTTTACATAAAGGCACACTCCTCCATGTTGGCCAATTAGGCGATCTCTTCTTACAACATTATATCCCGGAATCTGTATGACGTTATCATGTACAAAATCAGTCAGCCACGTCTCAGTAAAGCACTTAAGCACGCGAGATCAACGTCAGTTTGTAACACCGAGTGACGAACTTCGTCGATCTTGGATGCCAAAGACATTGTATTTGATAGCATATAAGACTTGGAAAAGGTTCGCTAATATTCGGAATAGACGATTGTTCAGCTGAGAGTGAGACATATTCAGCAGAAGGTAGATTTGCTAGGGACTCGTTTGTCACGTGAATGTTTGAGGGGTTTAAACCTAGATCAACATTATTTAGCGTATTATTACGGTGAACTTTAATTGTTTAATTAATACACTGGAGGTCTGGTTGTTTGTATCGACATCAGTGGAGGTGGATACGGGAGCGGCCGAAGAGGAGGGTAAAACATTGGAAACTTGATCGGGGTAAATAAAATTTGGTTGATAAGAAAGGGGAGTTTGATTATGAACATAGGGGGGCGCAACATATGGGGGGCGAATAGGCACCAATAGGAATTTGTTGGAATTGAGAGCGGCTCCTTGGGGGTTGAACCTCATTGTGCAAGAAGTCGCACCTAGAACCCTTTAAACAATATCCCCTCTTTCTTAGGAAGGGGCACGGAACCAAATTCTTGGGCTGCAATTGAGATAAACCATTAGCCGACGAGACACCATTCTCGTGTTGCATACGTTTTCTAGGTAAACTTGAATTACCGTTTGGCCTGTCAAGAATGCTATTGTCTGCCAAACTATCCCTACCATTGTTATGCCGCGAAAGAGGTTTATCAGTGTTAGCTAAATCGACAGTGTTAAGGTAGGCAATTTAACATTAATCAATTGTTCGCAGTCGTGAGATTTGTCACTCGGGTTAATAGCGTGTAATGACCCTTGGGGGCTATTGTTTCCGTCACTATGTGTATTGTGGATTACTTCTTCATGCATCAAAAATTCCATAGAAAATAATTTAGATTTGAGAACCATATTTTCATCATTAATTTTGCAAATTAACTCATCTTGGCGTCGAATAACAACCTCCATATCATTTTGTTTTGCTTTTAGAGTTTTAATTTCTAACTTGATCTCCTCTAAGGGAGAGGCGCTGACAAGTCGAGACTCTAAAACTTCCATGTCGAGTTTTATTCCCTCCAATTCTGCTTTGGTAACGTTGCTACCACAAGTACAATTACAACAACATACCTTGAAACCATTGAGACGCTCATTCCTGGTATACTTTTATATAACACTATATATATATATATAACACTATATATATATATATATATATATATATATATATATATATATATATATATATATATATATATATATATATATATATATATATTATATATGCTGTATATATATATATATATATATATATATATATACTGTATATATATATACAGGGTGTATCAAAAAAAGCGCAACCTCGGAATTTCCCAAGACATCGACATTGTTTTAAAGACAAAAGATTTTAGGCGCCTGGGAATTTAAAATAGCATAACTGTCAAAATTACTGCACACGCGAGTGCATAAAGCAAAATTTATGCATTTATTTAATGCACAACAACAGTAATATGATCTATTAGCAATTCGATTTCAATTCCCAGGGGCCTAAAATCTTTTATGCTTAAGATTTAAGAATTTCAAAGTGATTTCTTAGGAAATTCCGAGGTTGCGGTTTTTTTGATACACCCTGTATATAGCTGCCTCGTCCCCAGTCGCTTGCTATCAAATAATTAATTAGGAAAAGAACCATTTTCCTTTGCGCGCTCGTCCTTAGTTGCGGGCGTGCGCCTAAAGGCGTGCGTCTTTATCGGGCTTGCAGTGCGCGCTGATCTATATATTACCGATATTTAAATTTGATCTATATAGAGGAGCCTGCGGAGGAGGCAGCTGTATATAGTGTTATATAAAACAAATAGATAACATTTTGCCGTTGTTATAGATACACAACGGACGTCATAGCGTGCAATGACCGACGGTTTTTTGCTATGTTATGACGTCATCTAAGTACGTGTATACCTAAAATATACAACAAATCCATTAACCTATGTTATCCGATATGGTTACAGAAAGCGATCCCGTAATTATAAAGTGTAAACATGACTTGAAAGCGAAATGATAATAGACAACATGTAAATCATTTTGCCGCCTTTGCCGCATTTATCATGACTGTCGTTTGAAAGCGCGCTTTGCCTTGCATAAGAAACTTCTTAGTTGTTATATTTGATAATCTCAACTAAAATCCAGTACATTTTAAATGCCATGGTTCCTAGACTGCATATGGTAGCGAGAGATATCGCACACAGATTCAAACATAAACAAATCCGACATCAAGGCTCACATGCTGTGTTAATTATAGGTTTTATAACTTGTACGTAAGCCGTGGAAAGCGGATTATGCGAACGTACTCACAAACAAAGATAACATTTTGGCACTTGGAAAATAACGCCCGTAAGAGATTTTATCATTTCATCGGCAGTCCTGGAGACGTACTGCGATTGCTGCGTTCCAGCTGTGGTGAAGTAGTAGATAGATCACATTCTGGTGTGTATTAACGTCTAAAGGTTGAAATAATATTGTACTATTGATCATCAATATTTGGACGTCTCGCAGCGTTTTGGGATAGATAAAAATCGCGGTTTGTGCGAGTCTGTTGCTAACGTTATCAAAACGATACTATATTTCGTGTGGTTGTCTCGTGGAGTTTTCACCCAAACATCAACCAGCATGAACAAACTGAGCAAAAGTCTCGCTGTGTTCAATTGGGCATCGCAAAAGGCCGAGAAAGATCTTGTGAACACAATAACCAAAGAAAAACTACAAGATTATTACGAAATTCAAGAGGAAATAGGGCGAGGTATGTATATATATATATATATATGTGCGTATGTAGAGGTCTGTTCAAAGCAGGTCTACAGTATACTCTACACCGTCAAACATTATAATTATGGTGTTAAAATGAACATAAAAAACAACGTCGACACTCCCAAAACGGTTGGCATCTCACTCGATTGAATAATAGTTGAAGGTCCAATAAATGTGTATAAAATTTACACTCGATAATTCTTAACTATTCATTCGTCGAGATCGATGCCAACAAAATCTTGAAATTTATCCATGCCTTTACATGGCAGTGCCCTAGTATATATATACATGAACTTGGCTACAGCTCGACAACTGGGCCGCTCTGTAGCTCAGTTGCATGGTTAGAGCTAGCGCTGCACCGGAATAGACGATTCCAGCTATGAGACAACATTTTGATCCAGACAATTAGAAGGACGAAATCTATCATTATAGCTTAAAAGAACATCCTTAAATTAGTTACTTAAATTGCCAAATTTGGTTGCAAAATGTTGTAAAATATAGAAAATATAGCCCTGCGAAGTTAGCAAATTTTGAATATTTTAGTATTACGCGCGGAAAAATGCACCACTTTTGAGCCGAACGTGCATTTACCACAGCAAGACAAACGTTTGCTAATTTCTCACCCAATTTTCAATCAATGGGCAATGTCCATTAGCCCCCCAAATTTTAGTATTATATACGTTTGACAGTTTTCGAGTTATCGTGCTGACAGACAAACAGACAGACATGGTTTGGTAGAAAATGCGAATGCGAACTACGGATTGCGGATTGCTGAGAAATTCTTGTTTTATAATTATAATATATGCACAACGCGTGTGTATATATTATGTTGTCAGCTGTCAGGCTTGTTACTGTGGTTTATTTAAATTATATAGCGGACAAAAGTTGGGCTTTGGAGTACAAGCCGACTTCTACGTCATTATAGATAAATATAAAAGCCCAGTAATAGTAGGGGTCCAACATGTTGATTAGTTTGAACCGTCCCTTCATAAATCCGATTATTCAACCGCGCTTCTTCAATGAATGAATGAATGAATGAAAACCTCTTCTCATACATCATTAGATATTCATAGCATTTCGGCCAATGACATGGTTTAATTTACATCACGTGTATCTATCTGGATACCCCGTCTAGACCAGGACTTTAATTACTTCAAGTGGGAAGGGCTTTGAACAATAGGGAAATTGAGGGGTAAACAAAAGATTATGCAAATATATTTAATTGTTAAGTTTAGAATTATTTCTAAATACAGTAAGTTGTATTTAGAAATCTATTCTAACTACACTTTATAGCTAACACTTTTCCTGAACGTTTGAAAACTACATAAATATAGGAAAACCAACTTTTTTACCAACTATCATAATAAACAGCGCTTTAAACACTATAAAACAGCAATTTACCAGTAATGTTTACCGTCTATAAAATATATATTCACTTCGGCTCTTTCATTTTCCACCAGATAGCGCCTTATCGCACACACAATCTGCTATATCGTTTTTCGGATCCCCAACTTTGTTAGCCGAGCGACAATACTGTGCACAATACTGTGCTCAACACTTTCTGGTTCTCGAAACCGCTTTTTCTTATATTATAAGAAGATACCATGCTCTTTTGCCAACAAAATTCATCTATTCACGACGAAAGCGAACTGAATGCTTCGTTGTACTTCATGCAAACTTTCAAGCGAATGTAATCGTTAATGCCCACGCTCACTTTTTTGAATATCTAATAATTTCATGCCTCATTGCTATGAAAGTCTAATGATGTGTGAGAAGCAATTTCAAATCCTCGTTAGTGTTTTAAACTTGGCTTCCAAATCCCCAGGACACTTGTATTTAGAAACCACGTCTAAAACACGAACTCGGATTTGAAATATTACGTCAAAAACAAATACGTTGGTTCCGAGTTTTTCAAGTTCATCCAATTTAGCCCAACAAAAAAGCTAGTTAATAAGGAGCGTTTCACATTGCGTATAATTCGCAGTCATGCCAGGGAATGTGATAATCTATATACAGTCAATTCAAAAAAGGTTGTCCTTTGCAAGAGCTTTTGTTACGCGCGTGGTAATAACATGCAGTCAATTCTCATCAACTCCTGTGTAGTTCTTGTTCTCGTTTGACCGACGAGTTGAAAAAACTCTCATGCAAACTCACTTAGAGTCTCGCTTGCAGATTCTCATCAACTCTCATCCAGAGCTTAAACCATTTTTTTTCTATGTCGCGTATTTGCGATGAAAAGTGTTCAAAACCTAAAATCTTTTTGGCGTTCCTCTCCAAATTATTTGTTTTGGCTTTATTCTCTAGTTTATACAGTTAGCTGCTACCTTTTTAAATGCATTAATTTGCCGGTTGAGAAACATAAAATAATAGTAAAAAATTGTCAATTAAAATACAATTATCATTGATGCAAAATTGACGTCTTGCATGCATGTTTACACAGTATAATATAAGCAAAACGTACTGAATTTCAGACTTTATTTTAGCATTATTTTATAGATAAAGTATACTAAACATACTTTTTAAGTTTGTTTGCCGCTTGTTAAACAAAAAATTGAATATAGTCATAGCCAAAGTGGAAACGTTTTGAGCGCGTGTTACGTATACAAACGATTCTCCTCTTAATAATCATTGATGGCTGCGCAGAGTGTAAGATGTGGTTTTCAGTAAAAACGCACTATTTCAAACAAATCTGCAGCAGACTTGTACCAAGTTAAAGCTGTTTCAACAATTTGTTATCATGCAGGATGTGTTCGCACTAATTGTTGACAAGTTGTCAACGGTTTGGCTTGTTGACGACTTACGACAAAGTTGTTGAACTCAACAGTCTTGTAAAACTGTGGCAATTGATACACCAGGCGGAAATCTTAGTTTAAAGATAAAGAGCAGAGCCCAGCAAATAACTTTAAATCCAAACATGATAAAAGTAAAAATTTATTAGCTAACGTTTCGTTGTTTACAATACAACATCTTCAGAGCAATCTAAATGAATTTACAGGGTATGGTATATATATTTACAAAATAATGGTTTAATATTACAAAAACGGTTACATAGTTTGAAAGAACAAATGAATAGAAAGAAAGGAAAACAACTTATCAGTGACTAGTTAATAAGTAAAGATTTAATTTATCAACAGTCTTGTTATAAGTTGTTTTATGCAACAACTTGTTAAAACGTTGCCGGAGTGACAATCTTGTAGAAACGTCACACTACTAGTGAAACCCTATACGGCCACCTCGTTAATACAGTCACCTCTCTATTATGGGTAGTTTTGTCCCCGGAAACGCGAAGACAATACATTTCCTTATAAAAAAGATATCTCTTTAATATGACTGTCTCGTTAATTAGGTATTAACTGTGACACGTATTCCACTGTGACAACATTGTAAACGTAACAGCTTCTTGACAACCCTGTTACACGCTTGTTGAGAAATCTCGTTTGTGGAGTCCCTCAAGGGTCTATTTTAGGCCCACTTCTATTCCTGCTTTATATTAATGATCTCCCAAATAATCTCAAGAATACAAGCCCGTGCTTATATGCTGATGATACACAGATTTTTTCATCTGCTAATGACCATCAGCACCTCGTTTTCAATTTGAACAGTGACTTGAATAACATAAGTCAATGGCTCAAACAAAACAAATTGCAACACCATTCATCCAAAACTAAATTAATGTACGTAGGATCTAAACATAATCTCCATAAGATAAATAATGACATTCCTGTAATGTTAAATGGTCAACCAATTGCTAGGGTAACCTCAATACCTTGTTTGGGCGCCACCCTTGATGAAACGTTGAGTTGGGATGAGCATATTGACGTAATTTGCAGAAAGGTTGCAGCAGGTATTGGAACGTTAAGGCGCATCAAGCC